CGAACGGCTACAGTACGAATGCCTGCTCCTGTCCTCGTATGACGTTTCGAACACTGCAATGTTTCATTCTATTCGACTCGGGACTTCCTTGCCTACCGTGTTTTGACTAATTCGAACTTGCCTCGAACTGGGGCGTAACAATTCGAATTCAGAAGGCAATACCAAAGAACCGACCCTGAGGTGCAAAGAACAGTAAGAATCATACTCAAACGTCAGTCGAACTTGAAGAAAGTCATATTAGTCTCATATCGATTCAATATCGATTCTCCTTTCTCCGATTTCCTTTACTAACCTCTGGTACTTTCCTCCTGAATCGGACCGTGATACACAACTCTCTCGATCTCGCATTAGCAGAGCTCTTAGCCTCTTAGGGTGAATTTTTTTGTTCGTTTTTCCCACTTGACAGGTCTCAGAATTTCCTTAGTTGTCCGCTTCGTTCTAATGCTGAATATGTGGTTTTTGTGCTCTCTACTCCCGGCTGCCATACGTTCCTTTGACTTTGGAAAGATGCTTCGACGACATGGGGTCGTCATGGCGTTTACGAGGGCGGTCGAAGAACGGATGGATCACCACGTTTCGATGCTCCTAGACGCGCGGTTTGACTTTTAAAAAAAGCATCATATCGGAGCCTCGTTTGTAGCGGTGTTGATCCCCGCGTTAGTTCGACAGACCCATTTTTGCCATTTCGTTCTTTTGAAGGGACATAGAACAGCACACTCCGATGATTGTATGACATCATTCCTTTCCCCGCGCCCTTGAAGCTACGATTGCGACGAGACATAAGAATGCCCGTCTTTTATTGACTGTATTGTTCTATAATCCATCGTCCTAATCCAATCCTAATCAGACGTGGCCCTCCTAGCCTGACGTATTTATAGCTAGCATCCTTTCTTCAATACCCTCTACCGGCACCTTGGAGGATATTTTAGAACATCTGCAAAGTCCACGCTCCACTCCGAGCCAGTTTTTGCCGACTTTCGAGTACCCAGTCAGTGGACGAAAACGTCGGCCTTTATACGAGACTCTACCATATGTTAACACGGCAGTGTAACTTCCTCTGGCATTTCCTTCCCCATTTTTCGGTCCCGCAGCCCGCACACGACAAGCACGATGGCGCCAATTACTATTATGCACGACACGGCGAAACTTGGAAGACCTATGGGACGAGATCGTACACCAGCACAAAGCCGACGGCACTGACTACGGTAGAATAATTATATCCTGAAATGAGATTCTAGGCTTCATGCATTGTTACGGTCACTTGGACTTCCCCCAGCACACGAGACTACACAAATATACAGATTTTTTGAGCACACTGGCACGCCGTTGCTGCACGAGTCTAATTTCTCATCGTCAGGAATATATATAAAATGGATGAAGCTATAAAATCTTGTCCCGCACCACTCAAATAACCGCAATTAGCCCAAGCCTTCTCCTTCATGTCGATTATCCGGGAGCCTGTACCGCTACCCCTGGTTGTTATGCTGCTCCTCTTGAATCTCCTTGTCATAGGACTTGTGCTCCTGATCATCGAATACTGCACATGGCGTCGCTGGTGGAAGGCGCGTCTAAACTTCTTTTCATACTTTGACCTTATCGTTTTGACTTTTACTGGCGATATTAGCAACACCTCAGTGATTCGGACTTGGAAGCCCTTGATGCAGATATACGAAAGCTGGAGGAGTTTGAGACAGCGTTAGCGGAGCAGATGGGGATGTGTAGGAAGGATTTCGACTCGGATACTCTACGCCTCGAAATCAAGCAGAAAGAGTCGTCCAACCCAGATTATTCACCGGCTCTGGAGAAGCTAAACAGGCTCTATCGCCTCCGACGAAACCGCAGTCGCGTTAATGGGCGGATTCTCCCGGTCAAATTGGTCCCGCGTCACTTACCTCTGGGTGTAAGTTCGCATCTGTAGTCATTGGCCTCGATAGTGATCATCGGTGCTTTAGCCCCCTTTTTCTGTCGACGCTTCGCGATTCTGGGTTGTCCTCATTGGAATTGATGCATATCCAAACTACCCACTGCGTGGTTGCGTATCAGATGCACAATTAATGCAAAATTACTTCACGGAAGATCTCCACGTGCCCCCGAACCGCATACAACTTCTGCTCGGGTCACAAGAGCAAATCTCCCCTGAGGATCCGTTGTACCCTTCACGCACCCATATCACCGAAATGCTTCTCAGTCTCGCTACCAATGACGAGATACAGGATGGTGACAACATCATCATCTTCTATGCCGGACACGGCGCTTGCTACACAAATGAGAAAGATGGTGTTGTGGAACCCGGATACGTTGAGGCGTTTTGTCCTATAGATCACAGTTCAGGCGCCAAGAGCGTCCCTATCCAGGACATTAGTGACAGGGAACTCAATAGCATCCTAACCCAAATCAGCCGAGCTAAGGGCCACCGAATCACCGTCATTCTTGACTGTTGTCACGCTGGTGGCGTCAGCCGAGAGTTACCTGAGCCCGGAGCGCGTTTCATTCCCGTAACACCAGGCGCTACGCTTGAAAATATGCTCCTCGCGGGGGAGGATACTCTGAGGGGTTACCCTGAATATCGATCCATTTTATCCAAGGACTGGCACCCGGATATGGATTCCCACGTTGCGATAGCTGCGTGCAGGGGATACGAGTTTGCAAAGGAAAAGAAGGTTCAAGGGGAAGGTGGCGCGGTCGGGTACGTTGGAATTTTCACGGACTCGCTTGTGCGTGCTCTCCGGTCTGGATACTGGGAAGAAGAGACGACGTATGTCGATCTGCCTTTGGGTTTAGATGAATCGCACCATCAGACGCCTGTAGTTTCTGGAAAACACAAGCATGCACGTCTCTGGTATCAGGGCCACGCCATCACTGAAGGTCATACGTGCACCTCGATGCTCGATCATAGAAGACTGGCCATTGTATATTTTCTGTTTATACTGATATTTATTTCCTCTATATTCAGTGTACTTTGATATTACCAGGACTCATGTTCTAACGAGACTGGACATTGTATATCTATTCGTTACGCCACTGTGTGGCTAGTCACCATTGCCGTAATATAGCAGATAAGCTCGTACTTGTACGATCGTCGGTATACCCGTATGGCCATTGTAAGCAGTTGTTCATAGAAAGCTTGTAGAAAGTTATAGTGGTGTCGGAGACTGCTCTTTCATGGAGAATACAATGAGGTAAGAATTTAGATAAGGGGAGAGAACTCAGAAGATACAGAAATCGTACCAACAAACCAAACTAACCGTCCACCTGGAGCTGTTCGCCCTTTTGTCGCCTGAGTTTATGACGCCAAATGAATGAAAAGAGCCTACAAGGAAGGGAGGTTAGTGAACGAATTCTATTACTTGGATAAGCTGGTAGAAAGTTGAACGAAACGAATCAAAGCGCGACGCGCGTAGTGTTTCAAACTCCGATCAGAGTTTCACGTGATGATCGAATCAAGTTGGCGTGGCGCAGACCAGATCACAGATGGACCGAACACAAATATGCCGACGTTCCAGATTACACTCTAGCAACATGGTGCACAGGTATTAAACGTAACATCCGCATCGGGATCCGAAGATACATTTACTCTACCGATGGCTCCGTCAACCCTCTCCGAGCTGGACTCCTTCATCCAGCAGTTCACGAGGCCACAGTAAATATCCCCCTCTCGCTTAATGCCCAACATCCAGACATGGTAACCATGTTCCACAACGTCTGCGCCACGCTCTTTGAGGCGTATGGGTTCTCTTCAACGGCGATGGACGATCCTCCGGGCACGGAAGGCAATGTCGTCATCGACGTGCCTTTTTCCGGCCCTGTAATTCTACGCGTGAGTAGCCTCCTTCACGTTCCGTGTTGCCTGACTGATGGACGTGCTGCAGTACGAGACGCATGGATACAAGCCTATCAGAACCAGTACTGGGGGGCTCGTCTTTGCTAATTTAGTTGGGGTTTAGGCGTGAACGCTGCGAATTATGTGGATGTTGCGAGCATTCCGAGTGGATGCAGAAAAGCATCTCTACGTATCGTTCACTGTGTCTGGCAATGCACTTCTGCGGCTACAATATTCACTAAGGACAAAATAAGTCATGATGCCTTGCTTCTTCAATCATCGTAAATGTAATACCCTGCATTTTCGTCAATACAGAGCCCTGCGTAACGAGGACCGTTTTAGGTGGAAACAATAAACGTAGAAATATGATTCAATTAGCGTCTACTATGCGATTACAACGCCGCAGCAAATGCCAAAAATTAACGAAGCGATCTCAAAGATACAAATCCAAATCATAGAAAACAGAGGACGACATAGCGACGAACCCTGTTCCGTAACAACTCGTTCTCCATTGATGCTAAGGCATTGGTAGGCCATCCAACTCAAGTTTATCAGAATTGCTACACAAAACTCTACGTTCCCTCGTTCACGATCTATAGACTAGGACTATGACTATCCGGAACGCAAGATTTTCTATCATATACTATGCTGCTCACTACTTATGTACCACATTCATGAACAACAAAAATGAATTGTTCTAACCTCACTGTACGCTATGGAGTGCGCGACGTTCTGGCTCGTTGAACATCGCTTATCAAAAAGAAACAAATCGATTTCCGTGGATTTTGATAAGGGGAATCGAACCCCAAATGCAAAAGTCAGCCGTTGCACCATATAGGAGATACAGTACACTCTGTGCAATCCCAGTAGTATGTACATACCGGAGCATAATGTAACAAATCAATCTCCCATTCTTTTCATGAAGTACTTTCAAAGAAAATAACGCGTCGTTGTAAAAGAAGCCTATGCTTGATGTGTTATTTCGAGGAAGGGGACTCGAACCCCACGGGGCGTGGAAAGTGATCGTTACACCATGTTCGAAGTATACTGGATCCCGTTCAGGTAGTATTGTTTCTCTGGACGTTGAGGAGTGCCGTCTTATTGTTGCTCTCCGAGTCTAGCGTCTGTCATTCGTAGGGCAGCGGGAGTCAAAAAGTATTTCTCACCAAATTCGTTGTGATTCGAATACAGGGAATCGAACCCTGAGCGGCCGCCGCGATTATTGAACGCTTTAATGGGAGGCGGCAATGTTGCCTTTACACCATATCCGAGTATCATGAGTCTTGTCCGACAGCTCTATGGGATCCAGGAAAAGCAGAAGTATCTGCTTCGGCCCGTCTTACAATCTTCAATGTGGCCTCCTCGTTTCATCATACATTCAACACAAAAGGTAAGCTTGGAGTCCGCACCATTACAAAAGCAGGTAAGTAGCTGTAGAAACGTTATTAAAGACTCGAACCCCGAGCAACGTGAACAGCAGCCCTTACATCGTGTCCGGAGTACAATTGATTCCTACAAAGATAGTCGCCCAAATTCTGCGGTGGTAAAGACGTGGTATGATACAAAGTAATGCGATAAACTGAAGAGCTCAAGAAGGAAACATGATATGGTACAATGAAACGGCGACGAACCCTGCTCGTCGGTCGAAATTGCCTCCTGGCTATTTCGTGCGAATATCCGATACACGATCCCAGCACGGCCATCTATTCCCTTCCTCGTAGTATTCAGCGCGCCTTCTCTTCGGCTCCCGTTCCGCGTCTTCCATACGTCGATATGCATACAACCCGTACCCAGGGTCACGCCATTCAGTACACGCTCTGGGCACATCGCTGAAGCTAGCAGTATGCAACTTGAAACTAGGTTCCTTCACGCCTTCGTCCTCTTCTTCGGATTCGGACGACGACGGGCATAGACGTAGGCGCCACGGTTGACTTTGGAACGGTGCGAGGATAGAAGAGAGATAGGCGGTGGGGACAACGAGGAAGCGTGCAATGGTGTTAGCTCGCGGATGGACTGGGCTCGGAGCGCATCCTGTTCCTGGGAAGCCTACAAAGCAAGTCAAAATCTGGCACGACAGGATAACTTTGAAAAATCATACAAGATTCAAAAAATCAAGAATTTAGTGAAACCTTCGGCCGTCGTTGCTTTGCTAGAAGAACGAAGGTGTCCCAATACCTGGCTGTAATCCCGGAAGCCAAGAATGACATCCACGACTAAATAGTGGGAGCGGTGGCAAGGTAGGGCGATTCAGGCAGCGACGGAAAGTTGGCCAGTTTTACGCATTTCTGGCATCGCTGCTAGAGCTGGAGGAGCCCAGAATCAATGAGCATAGCTTAGCCCTAGGGTTGGTGGTAATACGAGCGAAGGACCGTTCAGGCCGAAGCAAAACAGAAATAAACCTTTTCGCCGAGTAGGTGGACCGGGTTGACCGGCCCGTTGTCAATTCAACATGAAGCGTGGGAATCCAGCGCACTTCCTTTCCTTTTCATCACCATCGTCGCTCCGACTATAGTGAGCGACTCTCTGTTAGCTCGTCGTGCTAAGGTCTCTGTTGGTCAGTATGGTGGTATGGCGATGTCATTTTCATGCATATTCTCATCGCTGACAGTATGGTCGCTCTGGCAGGAAATTTGTATCCATGATGTCGTCGAGTAAACGGCGGCGGGCGCTACAACTCAATGAAATCTCACCGTTGTGGGTGTCACCATTTTGTTGCCGCGTGCGTGAAGAGGACAAGAAAAATGGTCGTATATATGTGGCGAAATCTTGAAACTATGTCTTCGGGACTTTCGGAGGTATGCATAATCCTCACCAGTTGTCTTGATATCATCATCTACTGCTTTGTTAACAATAAGTTCTGTCAATATAGGTGCTCCCTATCGAAGGTCTTGGTAGGGCGGTTATTCGGAAGGAAAGCTGTGCATGAAGCCGGATGAAGAATCATTGACGGCTCTCGGCAACGAGGTCTGTCGCCGTCCATTTTCTTTTGAATGACCCTAACATTCTATCACGTCTCGATAGGTGGTACAGGACCTAGCCTGTGATCTCTGGTATGGGTCTAGTGATGTGCCTGCTCTCTAGCTGAATTTGGTTGTCAGGTGTAATTCCACTACTGCTTGAAGACAGCATACCGCCTACATCGACGGGCTCGGATACAAGGCAGTATATCTCAGTCGCGTGGACGCCTGTCTCGATATCCAGGTGACTACGATGTTCCCCTAGTCTTACTGTGAGAGCGCCATGTCATCTGCGACGGTCATTTTTCAATCTGATGCGAAGATTAGGTCCGCTTTTACGCCTTCAATCAAAATCTCAACTCCGAGAATTTTCGCATCGGACAATCATGGTCTGTTCCGTGTTGGGGCCAGTTTGTCTGTCCTGTCTTGCACCTATTTTGAAGAACACGCAGTATATCGTCTTATCATCGCGACGGGTATTGTACGCCTCCTTCAATGTTCTTCATCGAATGATATATCTAACGCTTTTGTCAAAATACTCGTTCGATCTCGGCTCTTTCACGACACTCCTAATCCAAGTGATGGTGACTTCAAAGCCCAGAGCTAAAGCTTATGGAGGAGTTGGACACCCGCTATCCAAGTGCGGTTTACTGTGACATTCAGTTGATCATGCTCACTTTTCCCGTAGCAACATGGTTCCTGTTCGATCTCGGCTTATTCTGGCTAGCATTCTCGATGCGCCGACGTCTGTATGAAATGGCCCCGAAAACCCAGGGACAGTCCGAGGGAATGAACACATGCGACCTGTCGATGGATACACGTCGAGATTCGGGATGCTTTGGCATCGTGCATTTTGACGCGGTCACTGGAGGTGAGCCCTATTTGTTCTAGTATGACACGGTGCTTATCTTTTGATGCTGCAGACCCGCCTGACATCGCTCGAGGTGCTCGTTCTGGTTATCCCGACCTCGCCTCATCTCCTTCGGGCTGGGTAGCGAACAACCAAATTACGTACGTCCCTCTCGCCAAGTCATCTTTCATCCTCTAACTACGCCCATAGCGACAATAATGTCATCACTAGAAATACCACAATCTGTAACGACCTTTCAATCTCCTACCGATACCTTCGCCTAACTTCAACATCGACGCCACACGAACCAGGCCGTTCGGCGTCATCAACAAAGTCCACCGTTATGTCCACAGGTACGGCTGGACAGAAGCATCGTATAATTTCTAGTCCGAAAACCTTGGCAAGGGAGGAACGGCCTATGGGAGACGACCATGTATTAATGAGCAAGCAGAATTCGAGTAGGAAGAATTACACGACGCCACCCAAGTATTCTTCCCCTTTGATTTCATGATACGGGACTGATGTTTATCTGGGGTCTGCAGGATGTACATACCCCTTAACGCAACGGAGTGCTCGAGGATACCATCCTCGTACACGAATGACTCGGAACCGTCCGATGCGTACGGATAACAGAAGCCAATGGAATAGACAAAGGTACCCGACCTTTTCCCTTCTCTCTAGATAGTCATTTACAAGTGGTCAGATGCTATGACATCCTAGTACGCATGTTCCTCCTCTCCATGTCCCTACAGCTAATAAACCCCGATCCCAGATGTACGGAGCCTAGCAAGACGGATCTACAACGACCCGGCCGGTATCAGAACACACCCTTACTCCGGAGTCCACCAACACCTCTCTAGTACTCCTCCATCTTACCCTTTGATGTCACCCTTCGCTTACTGTTTAGTATCCAGACATCGGCGAAGCATGGACAAACACACTCCACAATGTCTACGCCACGCTCGCCGAAGCTTATGGATTCTATTCAACGGCGATCGATGACACGAAAGACGCATCGTCTGGCTCCACCTCTTAATTGACGCGCTTTCCCTTCAGCCGTGTAATCCCACGTGTGAGTAAACTCTTTCACGTTCCCATGTTGCCTGGCTGATGAACGTGCCGCAGTACCCAACGCCCGTGACGCGTGGATACAAGCCGATCGGAACCAGTACGATGGGGCTAATGCGTGTACCCTATGGCACGCTTTTGCCAGTCGCGGTCTAGGCGTGAATGCCGCAAATTATGTTGACGACACGAGTGTGCCAACCGGATGTTGGGTAGAATCACAATACCTATTCTATTAGTTTATCGCCAAACGCTACCACATTCACGAAAAACACTGTACTTTGTTCTTCAAGCTATGGCATACCTTACAGTTTCATGAAATCCAGTACATACGAGAATTCGAAGTTCGAACCTCCGGTAGAGTGTCTTTGCTAGCTGTTACACCATATCCGGAGATAAACAACATGGCTCATCCCACGTGTTCCTACTAAAGTCAAAGTAAGCACATGGCTTGCAGAATTAGGAAACCAATCTTACAATCACCTTTTCTGCTCATGCCGCACTCCAAAGAAAAGGCAAGCCGATAACGCGGCATTGTAAGATCAGGTTGCTTCAGATCCATCGTCTTGAAAACTGGAATCCCTAGCAACGCCGTTCCACAAAGTTCGGAGTATAATGGAGCGGGGATATAAGATCATCTAACAGCCGCCAAGCTACAGACAGATGCAAATAAAGTATAAGGAAATGAAGCAATCGACGAACCCTACTAATCGCTGGCTGTTACCAAGTTGTGGCTACTTATTTCGTCCGGATATCTGATACAAAATCTCAACATGGGCATGTATTTTCTCCCTCGTGGTACTCGACACGCTGTCTACAACGTCTCGCAGCACTCGCCGAGGCGCACATGTTCTAGACTTCAAAGGCACAGGCGACCCCTCGGCGAGCGCGGAAGGCAATATCGTTTGGCTCATGATCTCTTCATTAACGCGCTTTCCCTCCTGCCGAGTAAATTCAGTCTCGAGTATAAAATATAAGCCTGTTTGTCTTTGGCTGGTGAGTATGCTGGCAATACACAGTGCTTAAGATGCGCGAGGAGAACCGGTACGAGGGCAACGTGTGCGTAGAAGGTTTTTTCCGGTCCCGATGTAGGCTTCAAGCTGCGTTGCTATCACAATTCTACCACTGACTACTGCTACAAGCCTGATACCCAAGCGGTGAATATGCGAACTAATAATATATACTGGGATAGGAATAGGATAAATGAGATCTATCTATTTATACAGCGTAGTGTCTACATAAACTTGAAAGTAAAAAGACAATGGGAATAGTAGCAGCATACCACAAATAACTTGTGGTATCAATTTCATAATGGGTTTCAGCTTGATACCATACACGCGCATCACGGTATCTTCCAACAACGACCGGTGTCTGATGGGATGATTCATCGAAACCAAGA